ATATCTATATATATATATATATATCCTATATAGTGACTATAATAACAAACAATCACCTTAAAGATGAAGAATGGCAAATGCTCCTTTATAATCTTAGGCCCATAGTAGTCCTTGAAAATACCGACTTGTTTTATTAAATGTGCCACTTCCCCAGTTTCTTATAGAAGAAAAGCACAAAGTAACTAAGGTTAGGTCTAGACAAGAGTCAGAGAATACAAAGGATTAGTATGTCTGGCAGAGTAAAATCAAGCCAACCCAGCAACACAGGGTAAAATTCAAAACCTAGAAACTTAGTTCTCTAACTTCAGATTACACATTCACAGAATAAGCCAGTTTAAGAAAAGCACTGAGCATGCAGAGATCTCCCTGAAGTATACAAAAAGTACTCAGATCATGCGGAAAATAAACGTAAAGAGAAATCAAGACAAAATTTAAAATTGCAACACAAATATTTTTCTTTCCCCCCCCCCCACAATGAATGCAGATATTTCATAGAAGGAAATGCACTATTCAAGTAATTGTACAAAAAAGGCATAATAAAAGGAAAAATATTTATTGCTTTGATATACACCAGCTTTATGCTTTAAATCTCCTCACCTTTGCACAAACATGCTTCAATGACCAACAGAACCACAAGCAATTGGTATTGCTTTCTAACTGTCTTTAAGAGAAATTTTCATGTTGAAATTAATTTGACCCTGAGTTCTTAATTTATGGGAACTGATAATGACAGTTTTCAGCATCTGCTATTTGTGCACTTACAGTATCTACAACTAAAACTAAAGAGAGATGTAAACACACCTACAGAAAAATGGGACTGCCACCACATAAATATTTTTTGCCAGTAATTGCCCTATAGGCACATTTTAAGACAACTTGGAAGCTGACAGCAGTAAATTTTATTGTGCTAATTGAATACTATATTATCTCCTGTAAGGATACAGTGTAGACATACGGGTGAAAGGGAGCAGGGAATGGAAGAGAAAAGATTTTAGTTTATTTTTTAGAGTTTTTTTAAATATAAAGACCATGCCAAAGAAAATGCAAATTCCCAGTTTTGATGTCTATTTTGAGGATCTGAAACAAGGCTTTTAATCAATGTATTATACATCAAATTGATAATGTTAACTTCTGATTATTCAAATGTATGAAATATTCATAGAGAACTGTCCAAACTTTTACATTTCTCAGACTTCTTTTCTCTATTAATTATCATGCCTGGAAGCTTTTTAGTAAAAGCAGCAGCCATCAGCCTGACTGAACCTGACAAGCTAGCAAGGCCCAATTACACTGGCACTCTGTGGCACTTTGATGTACTGGAAACGAAAAGAGATAGGGGCAAATTGTATAGCACATTATGTTAATGACTTGATTTAATCCAGCCACTAAACTTTATGTAGCCTGTTAAAAAAGATGCTAACACTAATTACACCACTTTGGAAAGGAAAGAAGGGGACAAGCATTTCATACCGACAAAGTGAAGCTCATAAATGTTGTAAATGAAATGAAACAAAATGAAGTAATCTATGATTAATTATACATCATAGACAAGAAGAAAAAAGAAAGAAGTAAGTGGTACAGCTAAGTACTGGAAAATCTGTTAGATACTCTTTATGATCAACATATCTAAGAAATAACCATGAACTGTCTAATTTGCAACATGCAAAAAAGGAACAGTATGATCTTAAATGGCTGAAACAGTTTGGCACACAACTCAGATTTATATGATAATTAGCATAACGACCTCTAAAAATCACAAGTTTTATTGACAGTGTTTGATTACCAGCAGTATATTTATCTCAAAACATAAAAGGCAGAGATTTTTAATCTCAAAAAAACCCCCAAATTAGATCATAATTTTCACATGTCGTATTCTATAATTAACCCAAGATTTCAAACATAGCAATGCCTATTTTGACAATACGATTTGTATTGAACAAATTGTCTTAATAGCTTATAGCTTTTGTTGTTGTATCTGCCCTTCTTGAACATGCAGTTTGTTACCAGAGAAACAGATCAATGGACAAAAATAAAAATTAATGAACTGAACTGAGACTACACTCAAAATCCTCTCAGAATTGTTCTTAAATAATTTTGATAAAATAAAATACAGGATGATGAAAGAAGCAGATCAACCGTATCACAGTTTGACTTAATGATCATGAGTAGCAGTCATTTTAGTTCTCAAAATTACAGGTGAGATTTTTTTCAAGATTTTACATATAAGCAATGAATTCTGTCTTCAAAAGTACCTTCTGTGTCTTACTGCAGCATATATAAAGTAACAGCTTTTTGAAATCCCTTTTACAGCTTAAAAAAAAGGCATGATAATTCTCATATGAAACATTGCTTCATGTTACTAGTTACTTTGTAAGATGTCACACAGCCTTGAAGAAAGGCTTAAAAATAAATAAATAAAAAATTCAAACTACCTCTAGGCTATCCAACTGCAGAACATTAACGTTAAGACTGACATAGCAGTACACCCTGGTCCTTTAAAAGAAGGCTAATACAAAGCAGAGAAGTATTAACTCTTAGGATTTTAAGTGCTAGTTTCCTATTTTCTAAGATTGCTCAGTCAATGATAGATCTAAAAGTAGAAAATGTTCTTACTTTTTAGAGAACTATAGTATTGAAATAATACTCTAAGCAAATTTTCCAAATTTGTATTATGCTGTGTTATTCTGTATATATGACTTTACACTCATCAGTTGCTGGATTTGCGTAAGTACAGAAAACATTATTACTGTACATGCCCACAAATAAGAGAGAAAAGTACACTGAAGTGACTGGATCCTGTCTGTACCTGTACAAACTCTACTGAAAACGAATGTTCAGTTCTAAAACTGCTGGAAAGTCAGGAACAAAAAAAAATAAAAATCTATGTGGATGAACTAACTAACATATGCAAGGTTTATATGTTATTAACAATCCCAAGTTTATGCAGTTGCCCTTTCAACAACATTCAATCGAGCCAACATACTGGGATGAAGCACAGTGGGTAGCTAAGCATTACAGATTTACTACAGGCCGTGACAAGTGATATTATCCTCCCCTTCCTCAGAAAGTACTGCAAGAAGCAGAAAAGCCCATTTCCCCACATGAAAGCAACAGGTAGAACTGAACAAGACTAAGCTCTTTAGACATTCACATTACAATAGTTACCTTTTGTTAGGGAGGTTTTGTGCACGACTAATATTTGACTTTGGATTGAAACTAATTAGAAATGTCTAATTCTAAGAGTGCATGACAATAGTGGAAAAGATGACAACAGATTTCCCCATTAGAAAAACACCTACAAATCACATGCACAATATAGGCACATCAACTTTTCTTTTTCTTTGTGAAAAGGTGTCTACTTGAAATGGAAACAGGAAAACACATTCACTGAAAATGTCTTAGAATCTACCCTTAGCTATAAGCAAAGCTATTCTTGGAAGACATTAAGCTTAAAATAATTTTCTTAGACTTATCAAATAATTGCCATAAATTCTCTGACTCACCTGTTTAATATTCTTGGATAGTGGACATGAAACAATACAGTCATCGCTGTCAGTTATTATTGATTCAATGGCATCATTTTCTTGTCTATCATCTTGATCTGCAAAAATAGAATCAATAGAGTTAAATCCCCCTGTATTTGCAGTCCATCTGAGACTTACTGAGAAACCTGATAGCAATATATTTGCTTTTCTGACAAATGAAGTGTAAGTGCCAGGTAAATCTTCTCTTCCTTGCAGAAGATTAACACTGGCAAATCAATGACTTTTGCAGTCATCTAAACTGTATATTTTTCTGATTTGCTACAAAAAATAGTAATGTTTCCCAGATGAAAGTTGATGAGTGGAATGATATGAGTCCTGTGATGAACTGAAGTATGAACAACAGTTAGCTTTATATAAGAATATGGCCTGAATTTGTGGATTTTCTCTGACTATGTTTAACATTCTTCTTTACATGTGCATGGTGTACTTGTGAGTTTTTTTTTAAATAGATCTGTATAAATGTGCCTTATTTTCCAAAGCATTCAGATCTTTTTTCTCTGGAGAAAATTACTTATAAACACAACAGGATTCAACATTATGTTTTTCCAATTTTTCTAATGAATTCTTATGTTGAAGCTGCAAATAACTGAACATCAAATTTTAGTATCTTGCTTGTGCTTCAAACTTGGTACCATTGAATTGGTTTATTTAAATGATAAACATTTGAAGCTTGGAGGTAGAACAGGATGACCCTGCTTTTATAATCTTTAAATAAATCTGCCTCTAACAACTTTATTTCACAGATGTGATAATACATAGTATCCCTCTCACTGTCTGAAAGGATTTCCGATATCAGCATTGGCTGTTATCTGCAGACAAAAGAAGCATATTCATTAGAATAGTCTCTAGAACAGCACAGTTCTATGGGAGAATATAAAGACATTTAAAATAGAAGCCAGGTTTCCTTTAATATTTTATGAATCTAGGTCAGACACCAGATTTTTGCATTCAATTACAATACAGTTTCTATTTGGAAAAAAATAACACCACCATATCCACCATTCAGCTTCAGCTATAAAGTACACCAGAATATAATTTCTGTCATGAAGCTTCTCATAATGAGGCAGTTTCCACTGCCAGTAAGAAAAGTTTAAGAAAATTCAGAGACATAGATTTATTAAGAAAACACAGTTACTTATTCATAAAAATGAATTCTACCTTCTGGTTCCAATTCTTCAGTTATTTCTGTCTCATCTCCAGAGGTAACTGAGCTTTGGCTGGCCAACTGCCCCTCTGACAGATGTGAGAGGTCGTCTTTTTCCTGTTGAATTTCTTCAGCTATCTCCTTCACCGTATCATCCGCTGGCCTTTTTTGTTTAACCTCAGGTACCACATGCTATATAAAACCAGATAAACTTACAGTCTTTAGAGCACTCATGGTACAGTAAAAATTACTGAAGTTCAAAATTTGAAGAGAGTTATGGCTCACATTCATTATACATAGCCTCTGAACAATTATATTGCTTATGCGGTGCAGGAAACAATGAGAAGTTGTCAAATGCAGTAACAAATAATTGATATAGAAGACAAAATTCTCTAATGTGCTTATTTGTGAAAACGTAACTATTATAATAATTTGTTACCTGTCAACATATATACAGACTGTTATATTTCCAGATTCATTTATATTTCAGCTCTTTCAGTCTACAAGACTCAGCCTAAAAAACTCAAACCAAAACAAAACACCACCACCTTACTCAGTTGGCAGCTTTACAACTTAAATTATACAGTATTTTCTATTTCAAAAGCAAACTGAAATGATACAAAAGAGAACTGGCTTTGCTACAAAATGCAAACATGTTGTCTAAGGTAACCTATCTTTAGTGCATAAATTACTCTGAAGTTATCCTATTCCCTCCTCTTTGAGTACAATTACATAGAATGCTACCTCATGAATGAATATAACATTACAGACATGGCTTCTTCCATGGAAATTTACTGGAGACCTATGCGTTGTTTATTATCCAACAATTCTCCTCTTGGACTGAATTTTCCACACAGACACTGGTGTCTCACTTTCCACCCTCAGAATCCACGAGATAACTTTCAGCTGTTCACAGAACAGCCAGGTTTTCCAAAACTGAACCTGAAGAGTTATTTCTATTCTAACACACCTGGAACCACAAATTATTTCTTTTCTAACACCTCTGGAGCCACAAAAAGCAAAACAAGGTTAGCAAACACTTATGAGCCTTATTCTATAAATAAAGATTATCTTTGAAGTTTTCAAGCTGTAGAAAACTGACTTTAAGTCTCCTTTATGCTCCTCCTTGGCATAGATGATGTGTCACACCAACTGTGCTTTAGGCAATGTTTGGCCAGTCTTTTTAATTCCTTCAGTGCAATATTCCAAAGTTATTCCATTTCTTCTTCATTCCCCCCCCTCCCCCCCCCCACTATATAATGGTAATTTCGAGAGCAAAGACAAAATAAATTTCATCCAAACATTGAAGGAAGTAAGTAATGAGATTTCTCCCTTTCTAATGGCAAAAAAAGATTGTCATCACAAGGAATTACTTTTTTCATATTTCAGAGATGTTTTTGTGATCTTACTTTACAGTTTGGTTTTTGATGCATGGCTGAAGAAATAACATACGCATGGCGTTCAAACGTGAGGTATAATATAAACCCACAAAATCTGAATAATCTCATACCTCTGAAACACTTGGAACTCTCGAAGCCTCCATCTTCTGTGCAGGTTCCGCATTATTTTCAAGACAGCCCTAAATTATGGGTGAAATCAGGGGAAACCTTTAATATATAGTAGACAACACACAAAAGTAAGTATAAATTTACAGGCAAAGAAGTGTTTTGACAGGAAATTCTGTCCTCTTTTGCCTTCCTGCATTAGCATTGCTGCTTCTATCCTCTGCTGTGACACCTGCCTGTGAGCCTGGACAATTCTTACAAGCCATTTAGGCAAATCAAACCACTCCTTCCACTTACTAGTGAGTCTGCTTTTCTGGAAACAACTATTTGCTTTGGCATGTGTCACATCAATATCCAACAACTAGATTCTCTACTATTCAGAAAACAGACAGAAAAATGAAACAGGCTGCTCCTGTCCAGTTTTAATCTGTTGAACTTCTAATTCGCACACATCAGAGAAGCCCCATCTATTTCATTATTTAGTTCTAACTGTACTTTTGCCTCTAGCCAGGCAGTGAGGCATGGATTTTTAAAACATCTAGGGGAGCTATCCACCCAATAATGAAGATTTACTATGGAGACTGAGTAGCTGTCTCCCTCAGAAAATCCTAGTTTGTGAAAAATTGCCCAGCTTTGAGAAGTTACTGTTTGGACAGCTGAAGAGAAATATGTTGTGTTTTGACCTTATGGCAAACATTGCATTTTTCCATACCTAAGCTCTCAAAAAATTTGATTTCACCAACATTTGACTTTTTTATCATTATTATTTTTTATTTAATAAACACAAAAGATCTATTTAATTCTTATTTCCAGTCTATACTGTATGGCTCAAAACAAAGTTCTAGTTGCAGTAAACTAAATGATAGCAGAACCACCTGTGAATTATAAACTGATGTTAACATTGTTTTAACTGTGTGTCTAATCTCAGACAATGAACTGTGCCAAATTGTGTATCTCATTAGCACAACACTCAGTATCTGCTTGGATCAAGCTGGTTTCTTGAGCCATTTACATGTCCGTGCAAGTGGCACACTGTACAAAGACACTTTAATTACTAAGCCAGAAAGCTGAGAAACACAGTGCACAGACAGCTGATTTGTGCTATTAGAATCTGCCCTAGGTCTATGGGAGTTGAAGCTTGTAAGCTGTGGAGGACATCAAGCAATTCTGAGGGAGTCACACAAATATCCCTGTATTGTATCCCCCACCTATGTGCAGTATTATGCTGTCATTCATTGCCTGGCACATCCCAGACTTGTGCTGCTGAAATAATTGAGTGTTCTCGATTATTAGCTCTACAAATTGTCCACAATAAGACGTAAGTAGCTCTTCCTGCTTCAACATGCATGAGAAAAATACTTAAAATTTACTATCACCTGTTTTGTACTAAGATCCAGAAAAGATACTTTCTTCTCTGCTTGAGCTGCACGCTGCCTTCGTTTGGGTGTTGGTTTCTGTAACAAAATAAATATAGCTGAGGACCATTTATTGCCATATTCTAACCATCTTATTTTAAAGATGGTTAGAAATAAATCTTGAGGAGCCTCAAATTTTCTCAAAGCCAAATATGACTGCACTAAATTCAATTCTAAACAGGCAAGATGACGTAGATGCTGGTTTTGCATCTATGAGTGATTTCTAAGTAGCTATTTGATATGTTAGCACCATGCTCCAGACACCAGAATAACAAAGAATGTGGTCCAGATACACCTGTGTATCTACACATGTCTTGGGTCTGGCTGCTTAGGAGTTCTTTTGGCACAAAGCTACTCCAGCTGACTGGGTTCTGTCTGAGCTTCTAGGAGACCACAATAAAAATAGGTGATTTCTTGACTGTCATAAATTTCAACCATACGCCTGAAGTCACACAAGCATGTGACTACATTTTATGCAGGACATCTACATTGGAAAGAGAATTAATAAGCACTAAATTTATAGGGAAGACATTTAATGGTGGTTGTATCTCCTGCCTTCTCCCCCCACCCTTTTGCTAATCGTCTATCTACCAGTATAAAAGACTTTCAAAGTTTTGGACACAAGAATGATTTCATTTCCCAAAGGAAGTCGAAGATGGACAAATCCTGGTCACTGGGGAAGAACTAAGTGACCTGCTGGAACTGGTCTTTTATATCTCTTAACTTCTGTGAGTTTGTTAAATTACTTACCGTGATCAGTGAAGTAACAGAAGGAGATGGGACTGGAGTCTGAGTTTTTTCCTCAGGTAGTAATTTAGTTGCCATTGATTTCTCATTTTGAATGTAATTTCCTAAATCTGCAGCCATTGTTAATCCACTTGGTGGTAGGTAGACATGTTTCCATTTTAATTCGACTGTGATGGTACCAGCAGAATGTCTTTCAGAATCTGTTAGTTCAAAAATACCTGAAAATAAAATGCAAATATCTTGTCTAAATTATCTTATTCTATACCTATACAAGAAAATGCAATGCAAAATTAAACAAGATTCAGGAATTAAGTGACTCAAAAGTCTTAATTTTAGAAGCCAATAGTGTCAAAATGCCTAATATAACAGTGTGGACATTCAAGACACAGAATTTAAAAGGGACTGGACTACTGCATTAGTTCAAGATGTCCTGTATCTATTCCCAGATAATCCAATACCAGGTTATATATTCTTACTGACATCTTCCATATTTCTATAATTTACAAACTTCTGTTACAGAAAATACAAGTTTTAAAAATCTGTGAGTAGCTAAACCTATCAAAGAAGAAACACACTAAATTCACTTACAGATTTTCTCCTATTCTCAATTTACATGGAATAATTATAGAACCATATGTTTAAATTATCTTGTAGTTGACAATAAAATAATTAAGCAGCTTTTATATTATAAACACCATAGTAACTGATACCAACTTGCAGGGAGCAGTTGATGCAGAAGCTGCTATTCACACTGTAGAAAAATGTAGAAACCTCATGAAATTCGACAAACCCAAATGCAAAGTCCTGCATCAGCCCAGCACCAGTCTCAAACAGCAGCACAGGCTGGGGGCCGACTGGCCACAAGCAAACTTGAAAAGTAAGAGCTAGTCCTTTTTGACAAATATAAGTCAGTGAAGGTATGTCTTTGCAGCAAAGGATGCCAACTACACCCTGGCCTGTATTAGTAAAAAAAGACAGTCAAGCAGGTCCAGGGCTTTCATCATTTCTCTCCAATACCTATGAGATGGCACTTGGAATTTTGACCTCTCCAGTACAAGATACTGGCATTCTGGAGCAGGTCCAGTGGAGGGCTGCAGAGAGCTTCAGGGCACTGGAGCACATGAAAAGGCTTGAAGTGATCTGCTCATTCTTTAGAAGAGGAGGCTCAGTGGAGATCTTACTGCCACCTAATAGAAGAGTGAGGAAAAGACAGAACCAGAGGTGCACAGGAAGAGGAGTATAGCCTACAGACACAAGCTGGAATATGAGAAATCCTATTTCTGCTAGATAAAAGTATTTATTATGAGGGTGATCAAACATAATTGATTAGCAGTTAAATTCAGTCAGTCCTAGACTGATACATCATTCCAATTATAATTATTTATCAAATCATAATTATTCCATACCTGGGCCAGTACAGAGAACAAAAGACAGACTTAAAAAACTTTCTTAAGACCGTGATAAATGAATGTTTGGACGCAGGTTCTTTTGATTATTTTATTTTTTTTAATTGTGGATTTAAAAGAAAACATTCACTCCGTTCTCTTAAATCTCAGAAAATGTCAAGAGGGGAAAAAAATCCTATTATTACAATCCACTCTGTAAAGTACAGACTGGACCTTAGTTAATGGATAAATCACAAAACCAAACGCCACTTTAAAGTTTGAGTTAAAATGCAACAATACTGGAACATTCTGTTGTCTTAGTAAACAAGAGATATTAGAATTTTTTTTCTCTCCCTGGGTCTTTTATTTCTCTAATGTTTGAAGTTTAATGTTTATATTAAAAAAAAAATATTCATCAGTTCCAGAGCTGTGACAAAGACTTTTCACTAGCCATGACTTAAGTAACACTGAGATGCAAAATTTACTTCCAGGATCCCACTGGAGTTAAAATTCTGTCAGACAAGAATGATACAGGTTTATAGCATCACTGAGGTTGGAAAAGACCTCTCAGATGATGAAATCCAACTCTAAACATAACATTGCCAAGACCACCACTAAACCATGTCCCCAAGTAGCACATCTACATGTCTTTTAAATACCTCCAGGGATGGTGACTCCACCACTTCCCTGGGCAGCCTGTTCCAGTGCTTGACAACCCTTCCAGGGAAGAGGTTTATCCTAAAATCCAGCCTAAACCTTCCCTGGCAAAACTTGAGGCTGTTTCCTCTCATCCTATCACTTGTTACTTGGGAAAAGAGAACAACAGTAAAGAAACATCCTTTCAGGGAGTTGTAGAGAGCAATAAGGTTCGCCCCTCAGCCTCTTTTTCTCCAGATTAAACACCACCAGCCCTGTCAGGCACTCCTCATAAGACTTGTGCTCCAGGCCTTTCAGTACCTCTGCTGCTCTTCTTTGGACATGCTCCAGCACCTCTGTGTCTTTCTTGGGAGTCAGTGGCCCCAAACTGAACACCGTGTTTGAGGTGCAGCCTCACGAGTGCCAAGTACAGGAGGATTATTACTTCCCTTGTCTTGCTGGCCACACGATTTCTGATACAAGCCAGAATGCTGTTGGCCTTCTTGGCCACCTGGGCACAAGCTGGATCATATCCAACAGCCATCAACCAGCACCCCCAGGTCTTTTTCCACTTGACAGCTTTCCAGCTACTCTTCTCCAAGCCTGTAGCATTACATGGGGCTATTGTGGCCCAAGTGCAGGATCTGGCACTTAGGCTTGCTGAACCTCACACAACTGGCCTTGGCCCATGGATCCAGCCTGTCCAGATCGCTCTGCAGGGCCTTTCTTTAGTTTCATTCTTAAAGAGATTTAAAGAGATATAAAAGAGGATGTAAAGATTTTGTTAAATTTAAAGAGGTCTAACTCTTACCTGAGATAGATCTGTCATGTGCTAAAGAAATAAGAGGCACATTGGCCTTCCCTACATAAGCACCTTCTTCCGTTTCACCATCATCAAATACATAAAAGGTTATAGATTCTGATTTTAGGTATCGGTCTAAATCTGCATTCATTGGCACTTGGAAACACATATGGTCATCTATTTGTGGGTTGTTGTTGCTAGCAATGATGGGAGTATCGTGGTCTGCAAAACCAAAGAACTTGTAGACAACATAAGGATTTGGCTGAAGATGTTTTTTTCGGGATTGTAGATTGTTACAACATTTTATTGTAATGTGGAGTTCATTTAAATTGCCATCTGTTGAAGTGCTGACTTGGGCAGTTCTGAGTATCTGCTGCTTTAAATGAAAAAGAAGTTAAATTAAAACCATTAGAATTCTTATGCTGGCAAACTCTAAGGACTACATAAATAGAACAAATGACATTATTTCAACAACACTCCAACTACTGTTTAATTTTATATGTCAAAATACTACTTGTTCTATAAATTCAGCAACATCTCTTGGGTTGTTGGTATAAGGAAATACGAGGTTAATCCTTTCAGGTCTGTGATTGTTTGCTTTATTCTTCCAAAGTTTTATGATCTACGTGTCATTTGATTATCTACAAAGCAGTGAAGACACCAGTTTTAAGAGTGATTCATATCTAATGCCACTTTAAAGTGAAGGATTCTGACCTTGACAGTTATTCTGTGTCAAGAAATCTTTATATCTGTAGTCCCTTTCACATATGTGTACTTTTCAATAATTAAAATTGCACTGCAGATTCCTCTGTTTTTTATTTCCTCACAAATCTTTACCTACATAAACTATTTACAAAAACTAGAAATCAGCATGTGAAAAGTAATAATAAGTGTTTGAGATAAATTAAAAAACCCAATGAGATCACAGTTGTTTTGAACTACAGCTTTTTTGGACTACCTATCAGCATGGCTTGTACATACTGTGGAACCCATAGTTGGCAAACTGAGAAGTTCATTCTAATAAAGAAGAAAACAAATAATGTAACTATCTTAAATGAGTAATCCCCATCTATATCTCAAAAGGCTCTCCTTTTTTACTGTACTATATCACAGCTATTTTCATTAACTGTACATAATTATCTTGCTTGTGAAGCCAGAGTTCTGTCTAGTGTAAGGGGAAACATGTATCAATTTGATTTTGTGCATTATATTTTGGTTAAATAATCCACACTGAAATAGCTAATGTGAAAGCCAAACATGACAGTTTGCAACTTTAAGACTACTATTTCTGGCTACATACAGCATTGGGGAAAAAAAAATATAGCAGTTTATGTGCAGTTCATGTTTCCATGATTTCTGCTGCTATACAGGACAGAAATTTTTTTATGTATGTTTAACTAGTGAAAGCTTAAATTTTGGAACACACAACTGAAGCTACTTTTGCAGCTGCAGACTGACAGAACCCTTACCATAATGTAACCATCTGCTATAACTGTGTAACTTCTAGTTTCCATCATGAAACATTTCTGTAAAGAGCGGTGTTTCAAACAGTTCTATAGACGATGTTCTTAATTTCTGCCATTTTTCCTATTTTATTTTCTCCCATATAATCCATATATTTCAGTTGCCACGTTTGAATTGTAATTTTACATTAATTACAATAAAATGTGCTATTCCACATGCCTTACCTCTCAACCGTGTTTGGGTTAGCAACACAGCTAGAAATAACATACTCCAAACCAAAGAAAACTAAATCACCAAATCTGGCATTTAAAAAGAGCCAGATTTTGTAAGTTGCTTAAAATACCTTTGATTCTTTTAAAAATCAGATTTAAAGCAAATGTTACGAAGTTATTAAACATGAAGTTATTCTGAAATTGCCTACACTGACCTTTAATAGAATTCATACACTGAACATACTTCTCAGATTACATTATGGAATCCATTGCGATAGTATGATAATATAAATTTACATTATGGAATAATATAAAACTAATTAAATAAAAAATTAAAGTTACTCCAGACTTACAGTAATTTAAAAAGTTATAGGTAAAAAAAAAAAATAAAAAATTGCCCATTAGAAACTCTAAACTTTTTCAATTCATACTTTTCGACCTGATTGTTTTTATTTCTTAAACAATTGCTAAAGATTTCTGAGAGTCCCTTCTTTTTCTGCTGTGACTCTTAAACACGATTATACAGTGCGTTTTACATATGCATTACACAGTGCATATTATCAAAATCCTCTTCATTATCCAGATTAAAAAAAGCTGATCTGACACCCAGCTTGTTTAACATTCATCACTATTGAGCTAGAACAGAATGTTAACAAAATCTGGCACTTGTAGTTAAAGAAATTTAATATAATAATTTCAAATATTCTAGTGAAAATTTTAATTTCCTAGTGAATGTCATTCCACTGCTATAGAGACTTCACAGTTCAAGAACCTTAAACTGTTGTTAACCTTGAATGTATCAAGACTTAAACTACTTGAAATGAAAAAGTAATATTCAATAGTTTATTCTACCAAAACTATGAAGATCAAACTTACTTGGGATGGTTGCTCACGTTCCGTAAAATTGGTGGTTAAATACCCCAGAGCCTTTGATCTCTCTTTGTAGAGACTAATAGCTTGATCCATAGGAATTCGTAACCTAACCCAGTATTCTACGGTACCGTAATTTTGAATGTTTCCTTTGACTCCTAAGGAATAAACATATACATGATTGCATTAATTTTCTCTTCAACATTAAAGTCCTTAAGTCAAAAGCTAGGAAACGCCACAAACTGAAGATTAGTTACCTCACCACTATGTATTATGACAACATTTGTGACATGAGATATGCAGTTCATGTTAGGAACAGAAACAACACTTCCTCTGGCTCTATGTATCTAATCCAAAACTGACACATGGCCATTTTTTCATATTGTAATCTGCAAGATTTACTGCCCAAGTTATAGACTCAAGTTCTTTATTTTAGTCTCTATAAAGCAAATAAAGGTTAGGACAGTTTTGTATATCAACTGTTGGAAATACCCTATAAAGTGGTATGCAGTTTAAATGATTGCCAAAGTATCACTTTAAAATGGCTTATTAAACCAAATTTTGACCAAAGTGGGCAGTCAGAGGTGTCTGAACAGACTGATCTGACAAAATACTTCTAAAAGAAAAAGTAAGCAGTACAGAATATTAAATACTTCTTTAAAAAAAGGCTTGTCCAGACTATCTTAAAATTATTTACAACAATGTATTAAAGTAAAAAAGTGCACAGAACCAACGCCTCCAGAGATGATGCTCCTGTATGAAGTATTATTAACTGCAATCAACATCATTTGCACCTTTTTGATGCCTTGCGACTATAACATGAAGACCTCTGATTTACCACTTTAAATGACAACAACTGTAACCATTTCTTCCTTTACTTACTGATAAGGAATGAGGGGACGTATTTATGACATCTGGGCCAGATATAAGGTACTGATGTTTGACAGTCTTATAATGCAGAGGTGGTTATGTTTTGGTTTTTTGTTGGTGTTTTGTTTGCTTAGTGTATATCTTGCTAAAGAAATTGCACACCAAATGTAGAATAATTTAATTTCACTTAAACATATTACAAGTCTTACTGAAATTACTGTATGTCTCACAGTTGAATTAAGTGGGAACCCCTTAATTCAGTACTAGTAACAGTCTCAGAGGATGAAAGAAACTTGAGTTAAACAACTAAAACACAATTAATAATATATAAAATAATAAAGCAATATTAAAAAGAATATCAGTCAAATTTTAAAATACCTTCTCTAGAGTATTCATAGAGAAATTCTAACATATGAGTAGTACTACAAAGCAATCAAGTACAAAGCTCTACTAACTACTTTTCTCCATGCTGTTTTTGTATAATTTTGTTGAGTAAGGTCATACTATCTTTTATTAAAATTCTTTACATGTGTAAAGAATTTAATACATTCTTTACATGTTGTAACCCTTTGCAAGTAACATTTATATAAGACAAAGAACCACTTGCTATTTTCAGACAAGATTTTCTAATGCCATTTCCAACATGTCACAAACTTGTAACATCACATACTTCAGGATCACTGTATTAACACCACCTTTGTCTTCACCCATTGTGGGCAAAATTGCACCTGTCAGAGCTTTCCCACAACTATGGGCAAAATCACCAGAAAATGCTGCACATCCAACAGGAAATATCATGTTGTTGTTGAAACTCTTTTATTTTTCCTTTTGAAATAGTAAAACATGAATTCATGTTACTCAGTATGTACTTAATACTTAAATACATGTTATTGAATTGTCACAACACTGCATCAAAAAGGGTAATTTTTGATATGTTAATTACCAACTAAATTCGTTGTGCTGTAGATCTTCCCATTGTTTTCCAAGACTTCATGGAGCTTTAGTTGACATGCAGCAACTGTTTCATAATCTGTGCCATACGCATGATGAACCTCGAATGTGATGCTGTTTTGCTGTATATAGTGCAAAAAGCAGTCATCAGCCTGCACGAGGTACTGAGAAGTGAAGTCATATGATGGGGTATGCCCATAAACTATTGGGGTTGCCTGAAGTTCAAAGTCATAGAACGCGTAAGTACAAAAAGTTGCAGGTTCACAGACACCAAAAGCCTGCATGACTGCAGAAGAGAAGATCACTTTGCTGATATGAATTTCAAAAAGGTTCTCTCCTCTTTGCAAATATAAAGTTTCATCAAATTCATTGACTGGATCACCCGGCAATATTTCCGGTTTAGATTTATATGGCTTTGTACCATAGACGATATCTCCTAGTTGGGCTGCAACAAATAAAACAAAATAGAGCTATAACATGACCATCTTGTTCAAAAATCAAGTATAATTAATGACTGAATAAAGAGGAAAAAAGCATAATCCAATTATATTAACTATGTTACTTTCTTACAGGCGTTGCCAAAAAAGTAATTACACATTTAAAGTCATAGGTCTAGTGCTCATTTAGCACACTGACAACCACCAAGAATACCTCCACAGTGGAGCTACTTCAATATACATAAAAATAGACATAGGCCCCTAACAATTATTATCAGATTACTAGGCAGTTAACAGCAAAAATTCAGAAGTCACATGCAACAAATCAAATAAGTATCACTATGCAAATGCATAAAGAGACTAAAGATACATATTTTGGTAGGGTTGAACTAAATTTGCCAGGGGAAGAATACATTTGACCTCTATCCTCCGTAATATCCCGAGCGGACAGAATTATCAGCAAAGACCTTTACATGTTGCCCAGCCTTAGAGGTGGTAAACAGTGATCAAAATACATGCCTACAGAACTGGGACACAGATCATCATGCAGTTCTTTGGCACAGGGGATGCAACTTGGAGAGAAAACACGGGGGTTTGCAAGGTATCCTATTTCAGGCTTGCTATGCAGCGTTTACACGCTGAAGTAATTAAAACAACATTTTAAAGCCATCAGATTGAAATATTTCATTGGTATATTATACCATAACTTTGGGATTTTAGCAACATATGAAATGATTATGTAATGATAGGACAACAAAATAAAAAATTGACCATAAATGTCCATTAAAAAAAGTTTCATTCTTATTCATCAATAGCTACAGCATAAATTGCTTTGTTGAATTTTGTTTGATTAATAACTGTATCATTTAAGTCAATGACACAAAACACAGATAATTTTCCATGAAAGAACTGCCCTTTAACTACTTTTAAGAATAGAAAAATGTTTCAACTGAAGAAATTTGTAACAATAATTTGCAAGACATGAAATATGTATAAAAAAAAATAAACAGAGAAGAATGTACTTGGAAAATACCTTCTAGTTTTCTGATGCGTGCAGCTCTAATATCAAGAAGATGGACATACTGTTCCAGTTTTACCTCATAGTCTTTTTGTAGACTTTCCATCTTTTGTGTCACTGCTTCTACTTCATTCTGAAAAAAATGTGCATGTAAAAAGGACTTTTGAGGCTTGTCTGCATTAATGCTGCACATACTTTCGCCTACAGGTTAAAATACAGTTAGATTTGAGAAAAGAACATTTAAAGTACACAAAAATAGCAGCAACTGTTAATTCAGTAATACAATACGGCCATCAGTTGAAATTGCAGCAAAATCTAAAAACATTATTATGAAAAACAGACTAGTTAAGTTTTCAGAACAATGCTCCTTAGAAGTTTTTTTAATGATTTTGTTATTTTAAACTTGCAAAATAAGATCTGCAATTACCCAGCACAAGAGAGTAAAAGCAGGGTGTTGTGGAAAAGGAAGCTTATTTGACAAGTACACTTACTATTTCCCTTGTGAGAACCTGACAAGAGCTCAGAGAGAATTCCTAGAAGGGGCTCTGATCAGGCTGGGTTAAAAGACTAAAGTAATTTGGATCTCATGCTTTTAAACAATGCTTTTAAAACCAGCAAATCTTACGTTAGGTTACTACAAACAGACTGGTTCTGTTGCTGCATTTGCAAGTCTTAATTATGAAAGGTTTTAGAGCTACAAATGTGCAAATGTTATCATTGGGTTATTTTCCACTGTGAGCAGAATTTAGTACCTGGTAATCTTTGTTAATTTTGTGCTGCAGAATTAACATATTTCTTGTCTTTTCCAGTTCTTGCACTGTTTCCGCATGTGTTAACTGCAGCTCCCGCATGGAATGCTCTAAATCTTTATGGTTATCATCTTCCACTTTTTCCAAAAACACAAGATCCCCATTTTGCTGCTGCTTTTGAACCTGGAGCAAGTTTTAAAAATTACTAAAACACACTTCTGTAAATATATTTGGATGTATTTGTGTTTGGTTAAATGTAACACTGGGATATAGTTTTGGAAGAACAACAAAACAGTAAGCGTAACTTGGTAAATCCTGAGTATGTGGTAACACAAAAAACCATGAATAAGGTAGACCAGCATCAGGACTGTATTCCGTAATGTCATTTTGTGATTATCAGGAATCAACTAACATGTATGAGATATTCAGAAGCAATCACTCCTGCCTATCCAGTGAAAATACGAACCCCTTACTATATATGCCTTTTATATAATTAATAATCCTGCTTCAGTGAATGTATAAAATCTGTGTTATTATCATCAAGTCTACATTGTTTTTGTTATTAGTATGGGAGTTCTAATTTTCATCTGGGTTGTTTGTTTTTGGGATTTGTTTGTTTTACTTTATTTTGTTCATTATCTTTACAGAATTACCATTTGCATTTCATTAGCAGAAAAAGATACCATTTATAGTAAACACTTACTCAAGAAAATAAATCCTAAGTCCCTGGAACAGAGGAAACTTAATGCACACTTATGTTTTCACTGATGTCTTCCCCTCATCCCACTTCATTTTCAAATTGTACCAGAGGAAAAAAAATATAACATTTTCTGACTATTTTTGGCTTTCTGTTTTAATAAACAAAGTTGCTAAGCATTGCTGTATTGTATTTTACAACTTTCATGCTTATAGTACGCCCCACAGAGTACTAATAATTAAAAAAGAATTAATAAAGAAAAACATTTTTAAAACATTATAGGAAGAACAAGCAGGTGGATAAGTCATTTAACTGAGAAAAAAAGAGGGTTTTTTTTCCAAAAAAGTGCTTGTGGATCTGGTTTCATTACAACATCAAAAGTTAATTAATTATCTACACAAATCTAGATCTCATCCTGGCAGCTTTTTCATCTTCCCTTCTGCTTCATTGTAACTGAAAAATGACAAAAGCACACTTACTAGCTTGAAGCATTAACTACTGAAAGATGCACAAATAATGCAGCCCCTGAAAATCCTAGGCATTGTGTAGAAAACATTTAATGTAATGCTCAACCAAGGCTTTAAAAAAAAAAAAAAAAGGGAAAAAAAGAACTAGTGCAAAATACAGACAATCATAGAATGGTTTGGGTTGGAAGGGACCTTAAAGATCAGCTAGTTTCAACTCCCTGTATGCTCATTCTTTGTTAGGTACCTTTATATGCAAGAGGGCTTCACCGAGTTCTGTCACATCGATATCACCTTCCTAAAACAGAAATACTTAATGAAAAGGTGTTATCAGATGTGAATGGACATTAAAAAATACGTTCAGAATAACAAGATGCATTCTCACTAGACATGGTATTTTGCTTGATATCATGAATAAAAAAGCACTTATATTTCTGTATTCTTTTACTTTCAAGAAGTATTTGTGCTATGCATAAAATACAGAATGGGGGTTCTCGCTCATATTCTAAACAGAAATAGAGTTCACCTTGGTCAAAAAGTTCATGCGATTTTTCAGTTCATCTAGCTGTTGCTTATGTTCCAGGCAGCGTAACTGCAGGTCTTTGTTCTCTTGCATCAGCTTTTCCTTTTGGTCTTAATGTCAAAAAAAAAACCAACAAAATATTTTACTTAATTCAACATAATTATAAAAATTATAAACTTACTTTTTCGTATTAACTAATGCATGAATTTTTAATTTTTAAATGTAGAAACTGATTTATTTTGTATAGGGAAATCTTTAGTATTAACAAAGACAGGGATAGAAAACTACTTCCCTTTGATCTGGTATAGGTGTATGTAGTAAATAAAAAGCAAAATATTCTTATTTTCAATAAAAGGGAACCTACAATGGGAAAAATCTACACTTCATGTATTTCTAAATAGAAAGATATGCCCAACTGAGTACAGCTTCCTGTTTTGGACGGAGGGAGGAAAGAGCGAAGTACGGAGTATAAAACTTTGTCAATCTGAATGACTAAACACCATTAAACTTACCAGCAGAGGGCTACACAGATTCTACACAAATACCTATTCATGCATAGCTACATCCACAATGATTGCTCAGTAAGATGTGAGAAAAAACTTAAGTATTAGGTGGAGTAATTGAGTTGTAACAACATACCTTCCTTCACGTTAGAAATTTTCAAAAGTAAGCTTTTCTCGGAATCATTGAGGTTTCTAGGAAACAAAAGTGCTCTCTCACTCTTCTCCCTGGACAAACTCCTTATTCTCTTGATAACAAAGTTTTTTTGCTCCTTCCATTTCTTTCCTGTGCTTTCCTGAAAGTCTCGAAGTTATATTCTCATACCATGTATTTAACTACTATGATCTCATATTTTAGATTAGAATGATGTAAATGTTAACTGTCAACCTGAGGTGCAAGTATTTGCCTTTGTAATTCCCATCTGCACTCGTGGGATTTAAGAATCTATTCTACTGCTTTCAACCAAACAGTCCACAGTATCTTTTTAATGCTGGAATCTTTTCTGTTGACCCTTAGGGCACAACTTAATTATTTTTACAGAGTAGCTTTGCAGTTTAGAGGCTTAAACTCTGCAGGAAACAGGTGGTTGAGACACCAGTCTCAAGGGTTTTGAAATGTTTAAAAAACTGACATCAGGGTAGTTTTAATTTTGCAGTTCATATATTAAATGACATCTTCACTAAAAATGAATCATCTATTATGCCACTGCTCCTATACACAGTAGCCTGACTTGTACATGTGTTGGACCCCACAAGAGTCACTTTCAATTCAAACACATCATCACCAGTAAGGTTTTAATTCTCTGCAGTTATGAGGAGAATGCAAAGCATTTGTGCAATTGAGAAGAAAACATAATTAAACCCACTAAAGACTAAAAATTCACAAGTGAATAAGAAAACAATTGCCTTGTCAATGGGCAGAGAAGGCAGGCCTTCATAAAAGATGGTGAAACACTTACCAGCAGTTGAGTCTTCTGGACTCACCCAAACAATTTACCCAAAAGACCTATGTCTGTTGAGAAGTCTCCCACAGAGAAAAAGGGCCCCTCATACTGATGTTTCTTTTCCC